TCTATGGTGAATTTATATATTTGCACCTGCAGGTGGCTAGAACTGGACTTCCAAACGGTAATCCAAGCATAAAATAAGCACATGAATGGTGCACAACGTGTGACCTTTAAGGGGGGAATCAGACATATTAAGATCAAACTCGTAGCAAGAAACCAAACGCATATGTTACACGAGATTTTAAACTCTTCCTTTAACGTCCGGAAATGTTGCAAGGCCGTTTATTTTAATTATACACAAATTATTAGGTAATCCATTTTGCAATATGCAAAATGTTTTGGTGATTTTGTGCTTTTGCAGTGTTAATAAAGTTGATAATATGACCAAGCATTACTAAGGAAATACTGTGGAGCACGATGCCATGTAATAACTCTAACTTCAGTTTGCACCATTACTGTCACGCTGTCTGACTGCTGTGTGCCTCAACATACCAAGTTCACTCTATTTATTTGCGTAGTGCATTATAGTGAAGTCATTGCTTACATTGTCTTACATGTATATCGATTTATAACACACACACTTTGAATAGCTGCACTGAGATAAGCTTTTTTTTAATGTATTCCACAATAATATCCTGCCTTAATAGTTCAGCAGATATTTCTCAGACTGAAAATGTGACATTTTTAAGCTGCAGCCGTATTTCCAGACCAGTTTCACAGTGCGGAGATGGTTTTGTGGGAAAACCCTCTCTTTCATGTTGGTGCCTCTCGAGAAACGCTGATCATGAGCGGTGGCTGTGAATCTTTTTGTTTTTGAAGCTGATGTTGGACTTTCCTCTTCCTGTCTCCAGTTAAGGTGACTGTAGTGCGTAGAGCTACCAGCTGGTATCAATAGCTGCATTAGAAACGACATTTTTCTGTGTTGATTTCGAAGCGAGCCGTTTGCCAAAAGCTCGTTGCTACTGTGTGTAAAACAGCGGTGGACATCCAGTGATCTGAAGTGAGCACACGAGCCCGTCACATCGACTGTTTGTGTTTGTGTACGAGATGGAGTGAGACTGAGTTATTTAATGACTTTTGAAGGCAGAGGCTCTTTGCTGATGGCGAGACGCTGAGGATTAGCAGCCTTTTGTTAGTTTTCTTTTAAAAAACATTGTGCTCTGCCTGATTCCACCGCTGGCCCATGTGTTTTATTGCTCCCGACATTGGAAGCCTCGCGATCCTGAAAGTGGAATGTGTTTTGATCACGCTTTAGTGATCTTGGGACCGTTTCTTTTTTACAACGTCCAGCGTGTGCTGACGTGTGGTGATTGACGACCGCCGAGCCCAGCCTGCTGAGGAGAGACCAGACGGCCAGCAAAAGCTAGGGTGCGCATTCCACCGCCACATGATGCAGCCGCGATGGACGACGTTGTTTGGTCCTTTAGAAAAAAGGCCCTTAAAGAGGATGTGAAGAGAGCTTTATGTCTTTAGTGGGTCCACTACATCATGCTACTTGTATTTTTCTTTGTTTACTTGAAAATGCTCTGAGAATTTCACTGAACATGCTTTAATTTGTCTTTTTGTTTCCATGTTGCCTTTTTTTCGTATTGTTTTAATAATAATACCACATTTTACAGTCTGATGCAGATTGTTGTTGAAGTGGATTTACTTTCCTGATCACACTACATGCAGTGCTGAAACAGTCCCTCAGCTAAGTGAAAGCTGATTGAATAAATGTGTGTATGTATGCGTGTGTATAAAGGGACTAAGCTACAGTATTAAGTGCACACTATGATGATAATCAGTTGTAAGAAATAAAAAAGCTGTCTGGTTTTGCTTTGTTTTTTCTCTCGTAGTTATAAAGGACCATTTGAACAGCCATGTTTGTTGTCCTTTTTCAGCCGTGGGCGGGGCTTGGGGAGGTGGGGGTGGTGGAGAAGATGTTCCTTCCCCAGGAAACGATGAGCATCAGAAACTTTACTTCCTGCATTCTGCTTCTCTTGCACCAGTTTATACGTTTGCTGCATCGTTCTGTGGTGCAAATGTCTGTAGTTAAAGGACAACAAAAATCACATACCACATAACAAACATAAAGTAGGACATAATCCAGTGTGGCTTTCAGATCGTCTCATTCATAGTTCACCACACACACACGGGTATGAACTACTTGTTTGTCCTGTTGCGCTGGCCTCTTTTCAGATCAAATGATCGAAACACTGGGCAGGATGGTGGCACGGTGGTTAGCTCTGTTGCCTCACAGCAAGAAGGTCCTGAGTTTGACTCCAACAAATGAAACAATGTGTTTCATTGTGTAACCCACTGGATGTTTGGTTAATTGCTCATGTTTAAAACCTCCCAACATTCCAGTTATCTTACCACATACCTTTGATCATCTTAGGAAGTCAAGTACATCTAATCTATTACCACGTAGCCTGAAAACAAGAAGCAGGCTACATTACCTCAGAAGTACTGGATAAACAGCACTTCTATATTGGAAAACAAATTACTACTAAATCTTGGCTCCCATTTTCTTCCATGGTCATCGATGTGCTTACACATGGTACCAGCTGACTGACAACACTATAGTACCGTGAAAAAGTCTCAAATCAAACATATTTTTTTTAGATTTTGCAAGGAAAATGGAAAATGGGTGCAGAAATGTATTGAATCATGTACAAACATGCTCGAAAATACAGTATGGAAAACAAATTTTGCAAAACTTGGTACAAGCCTGAAAAATCTTAGGCAGCTTTCTTGTCATTCCTGTAAGAACTGTTCAGGAACAATTCTTCAGGCTTCTTCAAGGACATTCAATTCAGCTTTGTTTATATAGTGCCAAATGACAAAGACAGTCGCCTTAAGGCCATTTATACTGTCAGGTAAAGACCCTACAATAATAAAAAAGACAGAGATGCCGAACTCTTCTGCCCTTTGTTCCATTCTCTGTCACGATGATCCCACACTGCTTCAGTAATGTCTATCCAGGTGTGCTTTTATTGCTTTGGCAG